AGATCATGCATAGCAAGAGAAATAATTCATGCATGTCGGGAAAAGATCATACATTGCAAGAGAAAATGATTCATGCATCGCGGGGAAAGATCATGCATAGCCAGAGAAATAATTCATACATCGCGAGGTAAGATCATGCATAGCAAGAGAAAGAATTCATGCATCGCGAGAAAAGATCATGCATAATAAGAGAAAGAAGTCATGCATCGCGAAGAAGTCATGCATTGCAACAGAAAGAGATTCATCCATCGCAAGAGAAGATTCATGCATCGCGAAAAGAGATTCATGCATCGCGGAAAAAAAGATTCACGTATCGCGAGAAAGATTCTCCCATCAAAAGAGAATCAACATCAACTGCATCATTTTCCTTGCAAATACGACATCAAAAGAAATATCAACATATTACATCTGCCTATTTTATTACTTCGTCATCAAAAGAAGAGTACATTGAAGATTATATTACAAATACAAAATACAAGCTTTATTTGCTTCACGTCAAACCCGATAGAGTTTACGTCAAATATTCAAGGAGAACAATCAAGTGTCAACACGGTAAAAGATACTATCTCTCCATTTGAATTGCATTTCTATGCTAATGAATTTTATCTCAGTCTTTGTCGAGAGCATCCGAAAGGATGAGTTCTCCAAAACAAACCACAGGTGTGGACGACATAAAAAAGGATGCAGCACAACGTGGAACTTTTCTTAGCAGCGAACTGGGACATAGTCTAAAGAGGGGTGTCAAACTCTTAGGACGCGAGCTGAGGAGCGACTTCCACCACAATCAAACCACACCCCTATCAAAGGCATGTGGGTTTTTTCTTAGGTTTCCTGGTTTCAGTTTCGCATCCGGAAATATTTGGTCTCTACCGGAAGTATCTTTCCAATCTGAGTGACAATGCACCAAGAGCTTTGAAATTATGTCCGTGTAAGTTCTTACTTATGGGTGTGAAGTGCACCACATTCATGGCTAAGAGATTGCAAGCCTCCTTTCCATACTTGACTTACTTGTCACTCTTCCAAAAACAAAGGTTATCTAGCATAATAGATTTCCTTTTCAACCAATCGAGTCGAACTACAAGCAGCCTGATTCCCTAAGATTTAAGGATATGTAGGCGGGCTCAATGTTGAAAACTTGGCTGTATTCCGACATTCTCTCTTAAATCTTATTCCCAAGTGTTTCGGTCTCTTCATAATTCGATATCGGAATAACTTTTGAGTCCTTCAAATCGTGCGTTAAATCAAGCATATCGAACTACAAGTGGCCTGAATTCTCATATAGCCTGAGATATGTAGAAAACCTGATACCGAGGTTCGGCCATATTTCTAAAGTCCGTGACAATATCCCTTTCCTAAAGATGAAGTTGTAGTCGGTCAAAATTGGATTCGTCAATTTCGTTTGTCTCGAATTTCTTTCATCAATCCAAGTCAAACGAGGGACAGTTGTTGACACCCAATTTTAACCCTCCACAATATAAATTAATCATTTCGAGCTTCTCCAATTTCAAACGATTTAAA